CGTTTGTTTATCAGGTGTAGGGAGAATCTCGCTCGTAGCAGAGCATGGTCCGTGTCTACGGGTGCTGACCAGTAGGAGCGGCAGTCTTTATTTGATCCTCTCCAGCAGTGGTTGATGGCGATGTGGTCGATTTNAAAATTGGAGTAGGCGTTCTCCGTTGTCAGTCCTGTTGGCTGGGATTGCATGTGAACCTCCAAGTAACCTCTCTGATTCGTCCAGGGATCCCACTTCAGCACTGAAGTCTCCAGCCACCAACACGATGTCCGTTGACCGAGCACTTCGGAGCAGTTGAGAGAGATCCTTGTAGAATTTATCCTTTACTTCTGGCGAACTGCCATCTGTCGATGCATAGGCAGATACGACGATCGACGTTTCGTTCTGTAGCTGCTGACTCGTACTAAACCATCCAGACGTACGGCGTAAAGTCGGCTGTTAACCGGGATCCAATCGAGAAGTGAACGCTCGGCCTTGACACTCAACGCAATTCCAACACCAGCAACACCGCGAGTTTCGGATGTCAAATCGCCTAACACACGCAGAGTGAAGGGTGAGGATGAGGTTGGATCTGGAGAACGCAAGATGATTGAAATAGGGTCTTGTATGCGTGTTTCGGAGGTACAACATACATCTAAATGGAAGGTTTCAAAGGTTCTAGCTTGTTGGCTTGTTGACCAATCTGATGGAGTGTGCGGACATTAAGTACGGCTAAGTGGAAAGGAAATTTTGGTTTCAAAAACCTGACAGCCTCTAAGTGGTTGGCCTCATTAGTTGAACAGTGAGCGGTATCCGATGGGTGGCGCAAACAGGATGCATCTCTTAAGGTATGGGAGTGAGAAGAGGAAATAGACAGTCGAGAAAGACTGTTCTCCAAATGGGTACCAAAGACTTTTGGACGCAGTATACTTCGCGGTTGCCCACACCGACGGAATTTTTCTTTGGGAACCCTAACCGGAGCCTTTGACTCAAACGTCTGACCCACAATGCAATGTGGCGTAAATCCAACGCGCGAGCGTGAACGAAGTACCCGTGTGGGAGCTTCCAGAAACCTGTCACGCAAGGCCTTTGAATTTAGATTGATTGTGTTGATCAGTGGTGCGTTGATTTTCGGTCCGCTTTTCGGGATCGGCCCTCAGCCCTCATGCACCCAATGAGACAAGCGGAACGTGGACAGGACAGCACCTTATTGGCTGGGGGTGGCCCAGCTTGGGCGGGCGGTAGCCGTCCAATGAAGTGCGAAGATTTCTCCCACCGTCCAGAGGAAGCCCCAGGTACCCCGCTCCTACGTCCATCTAGCGAGGGATTTTTGACCGGTAAACTACCCCTCACCGTGTTTATTTACTGGAGTGACCTCTCCAGGGGCGAGTGTGGATAGAAAAGGAAGCCAGGTGCCCAAGCAGCTGGCCTTGTGATGCTGATCTTCGTCTGGCCTCTACCCCTTGACCTTTCAGGCATGATTGGATCTGCGGCTGAGGAGCCATCCTGTATAGCTCGCAAGGTCATTGAGGCCCGCAAGCCATCACACCACGCCAAGGTGCAGTCACGTGATGGTAATACCCTTCTGCCAGTGATGCTAGGATCAGAATCTACTCGATTCTGTTTAACAAGTTAACACTTGGGGGGTGCAAAGCGTATATATAATATAGCGTCTCTAACACTGTAATCATTCAGAAAAGCTTGTAACTCACCTCGATATAATGCCGTTTGCGTACTACAGATCAGACAGCATCTCAATCAGTTGGCTATGAATGACAGGTTTATACGGTCTCCACCGATTGACTCTACACGCATANCGCATAATTGTATCTATAGAGGAGCTATCTTGTTTAGCTCGTTGGGTATTGGACACAAGTAAACCATGACATCACGTCAAGGGACAATCTCTTTGTGATAAAGTTAGCGACTTATTAGGCAAAAGAGTTTCAGTGTTTGAATACGCTGACGGATTTATCAAGCTCAATGTTATCACCATTCATCATTATAGTGTAATACAGTGCAGCGAACTTCACTGATCGCTGACTAACTCAATGCATACAAGGTAGATGGGATTGGGCCTATTTTTAGGGACGTGCTTAAAACACGCCATTTTTTATTACACACGTTTGAGATGAACAGCAGACGGGTTGGACCCCATAGTCACGAAAACCTGTTCAGTGATTGTAACCGGTAGCCTGAGCCCTGCGACTTGGAGTAGCGAACCACATAAAGCCCAATTGATTAGGGGTGGTGATGGATCGGACGACAGTAAAGTGGCTACCACTAAAGCTGGGTAGCGGTTGCCCGATATACCCGGTAACTGCAAGTCTAATAATCCTGGGGCCACATCTTGAATGGTTTGAAAATACAGGTGGCTCGTCAAACAAGTTAAGACCTCCGATATTGGTCTCTTGACTTTTCGCATCAATGAAAAATCTACTGTCATAAATGAGCATTGAATAGGACTTTTCTGTGTTCAATATTTTGCGATCAGGTAGTGGTATTTATTCTCTCCTTCATGCATGTCTTATTCCGTTCCCGAAGCATATTATTTTACCACACTGGGTAAACCCCAGCAGTTACTGGGCGTTTTTTTTACTTTCCGCACAATTACTCGCGTTCGCTTGATTTTTGCTGATCAAGGCAACCGTTGTCGACGTTTCACGACGTCTCTTTCCTACATCAAACGAGTTTGTCTTGTCTGTAGTTGCGTTATCGGTATTCCGCCTGGATGTCAATCGCGATAGACGGTTTGAGGTATTTACATCTTTCTGTTCTCAATCGAAGCCTGAGATTTCTCATTCACCGGTTCACCCATACAAGTAAATGCATCCCGGCATCGATGTTTCGTCTCCGCACGCTGAGATCGGATGAACAACCCCAATTCTGTGTGCTGATACTTGGCGTGAACGAGATATTTCTACCAATGTAAAACCAAAGTAAACATGTTAGAGATAGTAATCTACATCATGCACATTACTCCTTCATAAAATTATAATATAAAAAATACTCACGCATTGATAGAACTCGCGGTAGCGACCACGGGTCATAGCAGGTTGATCTCGGCGATATACTTTTCCTATTTGGTATCGCTTAATTGATTTTATTTTGTGCATGGCCACATAGCGAGCGAATGGTACCTAATTTGCAATGAAATTGACAAACGGATATACGCACCGTCAGGTCATATCTCAAGGAAAGTAGCTCTCCTCCCTGGTCCTTGAGGTCGTATATAAGTTTTGAGTCTTCTCCGTATTTGCCTGTGAGTACTTCCTGAAAGACTAAAGGGTCTGCGTTACAAACCAAACCTTTAATTCGAACACCGGAGTGTCAATAGTAACAGCGTCATGACGCTTGAAGCACTGTACGATAGTACCAAAAACATCTTCTAGCACTTTCATCTGGACAGGATTTCGATCTCGTGTTCCCTGAAGGGTTCAATTATCCAATATGCCATTACTTTAGGGACTTTTAGAACGGTTGGGACATCCCCGTGTGTGACAGCCATACCGTCCATACGCTTCGACATCTCGTCAATCTAAAAAGTAGAATGGAAAAAAATCGATTGAAAATCAAACCTTTGATATTGCGATTGGTCGATAAAACGTACTTAGATATCGCACATTAAACAGTGCTGTTCTTAAATTGATCATTGCATTTATTTCTGAACAAAATCATATGGTTATTGTTATGAGGAATTTTTCGCTTAAAATAAAAAGAGAAACAAGCCTTAAAACGAACCTTCAACTTTTCACTTTGTCCTTCGCGTGTCTTTTTCACAGAAGTCATGAAAATATAAAAACCGGCAGCAACGCGCAGGGAAATGCGATTGGCCTTACACGAACAACAGTTCAGTTCAAGTCAAATTTCAGTTCAGTTCAGTTCAGTTCATGACAGGACAGGACAGATCACAGGACTTGCGGCGGAGCCAGAAGCAGTCCAGTTTCTTGCACCAATGAGCTTGGGAGCACCACGGCGCTGCGACAATTGTATTATTTCGTTCACGTAGGCGTGGGTGGGTGCGGTTCTGGAAAAGGAAAACGCACTTCTGATGGTTCCTCGGAGTGACAGTACACGTCTGAGGTTTTACCAGGATCAAAGCAAAAGCTCGCAACCAACNCAACCAACCGCTCCGAGCTACCCAGAGTAAAAGGTGTGTTGGGAGAAGAAGTATGTCCTAAAAGTGGTGGTGCTGTATGTTGAGAAGTTTCAGTAAAATGTGGTGCACAGTGAATAAAAAAAATGGAGCTGAGGGAGTTGGAGAAATCAAAGTGGAGTATGAGATAAAGAGTTAAATGTAAGGAGGGAGGGAGACGGAGGCGGACGAGCTATTAGCGACCTTAGGCCCAGTGTCAGATACAATCAGGGAACGCTGATGCCCAGCATGCATCAAGCTTCAGCTTGAACTCGGCAATGGTTTTTGACGCCACTACCTCCTGCGGCAGTTTGTTCCATGTATTAATTACCCGGTGCGAGAAAAAGGTGGCTCTCAGGCGTTTGAGCGCCCGAGGCTTTTCTAGCTTCATACTGTGTCCCCTTCTGTTGGGCACACCGCTTGGCTGAAGTAGGTAAGAGATTCCCTGAGAGAAACCCTTCAAGATACGGAAGCTTTCGATTAGGTCCCCCCTCAGCCTTCTCCGACTGAGTGAGAACAGGTTCAGCCCCTGGAGGCGTTCGGCATATGTCGCTCCCCTAAGGTGCGGGAACATGCGCGTGAACCTCTTCTGCACCCTTTCCAGAACCCCTTGGTCCTTCTTCAGATTAGGGGACCAAGCTTGTACACAGTACTCCAGATGCGGCCGAACGAAGGCCATGTATAGCGGGACTAGCACGACAGGATCCCTAGACGTCACTGTGCGTTTCAACCTGAACAACGCTCTATTGGCCGTACGTGCCGCAGCAAGACACTGGGCAGAGGAGTTAAAAGCGGAGTTCAGAGTGAC